TACTGTATATCCTAGTATAACAGGCTGGGGTGTCAAAACGTTGGCGAGCGCAACCATGTCAAGGTAAACTCAAGGATGGGCATACAACAGGACCCTTGGCAACGCCGTCACCGTCCTCGTTCCACAAGCACGTGCTTGCAGTGGGCCCCCGACCAGGGGCGATGTGTCTATGGTGGCGGGAGAGTTGCATGGAATAAGACACATATTGGACGTTCCACGGAAAGATATCGCGAATGGACCACTAGAGGAGTGCCCCTTTCTTTTGCGTCCGGCAGCACTACGTGCACCACGCGGCGCTTGCACTGTCGAGTTTCGTCCACGTGACATTTCGTTGGTTAATTCATTAAAAAGATTTGATTGGATGAAATAGTATGACGCATCCACCAATGACGAAATTTCAAGGTGACCTTGGGAGAATTTATATTCCCCCGTGTCCCTCGAAATTGCCTCGTTCGCCCACTCCGATGATGGCCTTGGAATCGCTTAGCGTCGAGCTCGTCGTGCTCGTTGTAGGTCTCAGCGCCCTCCATATCGCAGCACTGGTACGGTCTTGACATGTTTATTCTACTCAACTAGAGGGTTCTTGGTGTTGCAGGTGTTCTGGGCCACGCGAGCGTACGGCGAAGGCAACAACAAAGCTGTAGACACCAAAAAGCGACAATAGATCAGATTGCACTAGCTGAAAACGTACCAGGCGGCAAACGTAACCACGCGTGGACCAAGCGTTGGTGGAATAATACAGCTTTGGTTCGATCTCTGCGCTGCGATGCTTCGACAGTGCTGCGACCTTTGTTGAAAAACGCCTTGCGGGCTCGACCGCCCTGACTTCCACGTCCTCTTTCGATCGTCCCATTGGGGTTCATTCGAAAGCTGAAGCATCGACAGGAACAGATTCGATAGCCACAGGGGGCGCATGGCATTTGAGTCGCGACGGCAGCGACCCAACATACATTAGCTCTCGTCGGTAAAACGTTGCATGATACCGCAGATCGTTTCTCGTACGTCGCCGCTCTGGATAGCAATGTACCATACTACTACGTAGTAGTAAAAAATGAAAAACCAAATGCCATCTTGTATATTTTGTAAGTCATTTAATGTGTTGAAGATGAAATACACGGTGACTCAAAAAAAATTGCCATGGAGGGTGGTCTCGACACCATAGCCAGCGACAACAAGCACGCGCCGAGTTTCATTGAACAGCACAGCACTGCTATCTCGATCGTAGTGTTGTTCGTGGGGTTTCTCCACTGCTGTTGGGTGGTACGTAGACGTCGTTCGCCGCCACAACGTCACGTGGCGATGCTGTAGATGTACAAAGCTGTCTACCCCTTTTGGCAAGAACTGAAGAAACTCGACGCTCAAGAACAGGCCGACGACACTGCCATCGCAGAAGCCTTCAAGAACGGCAAGTTGGCAAATCCCAAAAAACGAACCAAGTCGACCAAACTCGATTAACTCCAGTTGGAATCTGTTGTGACCGAGTAATCCCAGTGCATGAAGACTGCCACAATAAGTACCTCTCGACTCGCTTGAAACCGCAAAACCCGCATGCCAATGCACACACGAAAATTCGTTGCAAAGTTACCATCACTTGCAATGGCCATCACAGATTGTTCAGCTGCCTAGTCCTTAAAAAAGATGCGGGCGCCGTTGAGCGACCAGTTGAGCAAGTCAAATTCCCTGCGGTGCAACTCGATTCGCTTGGCGGTGAGCTGGAGTGTATGCACCTCCTCCTCGTCTTCGATGAGGTCGGCAGTCGTTTCTTTCTTGTTCTTCTCCATGTTGGCTTGCTTGCGGGCATCGCGCTCCGCCTGCTTGATGTTGAACGCGGCTTCATCTGCTTCAAACTTGCGTTCGACTTCTTCAAACCAATGCAGTGAGTCAAACGCCTATGTATCCGTAAATCCTTTTCCTTTGCAGACCATCGCATGCAACGCATCGATACACGAGCTCGAAACACAACCATCCTGAAGCAATACGTGCTGAGAAAATCTCCACCTAAAGCACATTTCATGCTGAAATGTCCACTTGGTGATGCCACTCAAGTTCAGGAAACCATCGACAAACATTTCATGCACGACAATCTAGTACGAAAATCTTGTCAAGCAGAGCATATGTATCTGGCCCCTCCAAGCCTCCTCGATGGTACAATCGTCAACTCCAAGTAGATTTTTTTGCACGCCCGTCATGACAAATCAAAGGCAATTTACCTCGCCTTGGTTCAGAATCGCCAACAAATAGGCAATCCCGATGGCAAATCCGTCATCAGTAAAGTACGATTCGCGCCGGCGTGTGTTCTTGTACATGAGGTCCTTCGCCTGGACGGTTGTCTCGATAAAGTTGATGGTGAGCGCAGGCACGATCTGGTAAAAAAGGCCAAGGTGCTTTTGCGACAATACAACTTGCTGGAACACTTCGACCAGTACGTGAAAATAGTCGTTGTTCTCACTGAAATTGCGAGACAGGTTAGACACGACCGTGTCGACGTTCTTGGCCGCGACACGCGTTTCCGGGCTTAATTCGGTCGCCATTGCTTCGAATTCAAAGTTGCGCTTGTTCAAGTCCGGCACAAACTTGATCGCATTGCTACCCCAGGTTTTTTCGAATAACACATTATGAATATGCAACATGCTGCAAATGAAAAACAAAGTCCCGCTTATCCACAACCAACGTTGGAAAAGATCACGCTTGCGCAAACACATACGGAAACAGGAAACCACCGACGCAGAGGCTGAAACAGACGGCTGGACATAGAGGATTTTTGTCGAATGATCAATACGTCGACTTTAACATCCTCAAAGATGTTGATCGAACAGATCAACAGCTTCCAGCTGTATATTTCAGCCGCTCGTTCAGAAACATCCACTAAATTCGTAACGACTTGAAGCCGTTGGCGTGCATTCGACTTTCCACGAAACAAGCAAGTATACCAATTTCACCCATCAAGAGTCGAGGATTTGCCATGCATGCAGTACCTGCAGTAGTTCATGCCGGCTGACCGCACCATACGGACATATCCGAGAGCATTCCCCATTTCCGTGATGAGGATACGATATTGGTCCAAGAACGTTCGCCCTGCATCGGACACACCGAGTTGTCGGATTTCTACCCCACAATGATAAAATTAGCACACTCGTCTTTGATATCCAAGTCAACAAACCTTTGTTGAACTCAAACGCGCGCTGGTACGGGTATTTGTGGTCCTGGGTCTCGGTTTTGTGCGCCTTGTACCACCGCACTTCACGCTTCAAGAAGCTCTTGATGTAGTCGTCATAGAGAAATTGCGAAAAGATATCGAATTTCTTGTTGAGGAATTGGTACGTAAAGTTGACGGTCGTGTTGAGGATACCCATGCCGTGTGTGCGGATGCTGCTTGCAATCGAGTGGATTGAAATCGCATTCAAGTGACGCGACCCTTTGTCGTTGCGCCGTTCGAGGAAAAACTGCTGGTTCAAATTGTAGTTGTATCGACCAACAAACACATGAATGTTGCGCATGATCTGCAGCACGTCCAGTCCTTGGTCCAAACTTCCCATTGGCAAGTGGTTTTCGGCCAAAAAGAGTCCATACTTGTCATACGCCAATTGGCGCATCTCGCCATATCTACCGTCACATATCTATTTAGTTCAATCTCGATGCAACGCAGGTCCAACAAATGGTAAAAATTAAGAGAAAAATCGGGCATATGCATAAACACCCTCCGTCAAAACATTCCGTGAAAACGAAGGCAGAACTTCCAAATGCAAACACGACAAGTGTGATTTCGACAGACGAGGCACATCGTACAGAACGTCCATACAGCAACTCACAGTGGGAGCGCAAAGGCTAAAACAAATATGTTTGATACCATACAACTGACAGTGAACATGCCATTCGAATGTGCAAACCTTCATGGGATGGGACAGATTTCGTTCGCACATTCGGCGTGCACTATGCACAAGGATGCACGATGGAACTTACGTTTTCCAGTCGTGGAGCGCAACCGTCGTGAGATTGTAAAACGTCGACTCCAAATAATGCGTGACTCGGTCGCGCAGGTCGATGCACTTGCCCCAAATACGAATCGGACGGAGATCCATGTAGTAGTGCAGCACCTGGATATCGTGCAAGTCAGAAGTTCAATTCTCGTGTCTTGAAAAGTCTGCCTCAAACCTACTTTAAAATCCGTGTTGTTAATGGGGTTGGGCGTTTCCATGTGATCGAGATGCACCGAGTGGACATGCAAGCGCAGGTCATTCTCGATGTCCATGCAGAGCGGCCCGACGAGCTCCTCCTCTACAACTTCTTCGACAAAGGCAGCATACGCGCCAACATAGTACGCGACGGCATTTTCCTCATGTCCCGCCATCTTTAACACCTTGATAGCATCGAGAAATCCAGCCAGCTACGCGAGGATCAATGGTGGCATCACTTTACTCGAAATGTATTCATACACTCCAGTCATCATAAGGGCTAGCACATCATGCTAACACCATGCACTTTCGAAAAAACCAAGTCAGATCGATCGTACATCAGCCCCATAGAACGGGGTTTCACCAAAAAGTCAACACCAACAGGACATCGAAAGGTCCTGAAGCATCCAACAGATTCAACGTATAACTATTCAACAAGGCGGATCGCGTCATGACAGACATTCTAACGCAACCATACACCTCGTAATCACGACGCGAGTCGTAAAACATTCGGTCATATTCTCTTGTTGGAACACGGAACGCAGAGGCCTACCACGTATTGTATGCGGTTGGCATTTTCTGGGACCGAGTACATGTCTTGGACAAACAGAGTGAGGAGCTCGCGGCTCCAGTATAAAAACGAACAGTCGGTCGCCAGGCGAATCTTGCGCTGAAAGTCACACAGCAACTGGAGCTTCCACAACAACTTGAGCGCTTCAGTTGGCGACGACGTGGCTGCTTTTTTTATGGATTTGTCGTTGTCTTCGTCCGAAATGAGCGCAATTTGGACGGCAAGCGATAGCACCGTCAACCGGGTTGATGAAAACGACTCGCCCGTATGCAAAATGTCTTCCATGACGGAAACGGCGGCCAGTACGTCCAATTTCGTGTCGTCAAAACGCTTGCTCGCTTCAAGCTTGGCCTTGATTGGGCGGAAGAACAACATGAGAGCATGTGCAACTTGTCTACATGACGAGAATGCAGGAATTGTTTGAGTCAGGGTTTGTACATTCGCATGTAACAAATCGAAAGTCCATCAGAACACGATGCTCACACAGAAATCCACGATATCGTACCGCAGAATCAACGCCGCACTCTCGGCGAGAATTGGATTTTTCCGAGCCAGCATAAACTCGATAGCCTTGTTCATTTCGATGCAGTGGTAGAGCGGGCGCAAGATGCGTTTCGGCATGGGGATATTCAGTTGCAGATGGAGCTGGAGCATAGTTTGCATCATCGTTTGAATGCGCTTGGCCAAAATGAGCCCTTTCACGATTAAGTTGCCTCGAATCCTAAATGCAACAGAAGTTGAACAATACAGAACGAAATGTCCGCAACGGGGGCGTGAGATATACCCCAATATGCGCACAGAGTCACCTCCCCCGCGTGTACTCATTTGAAAAAACGACTCAAAGCGCACGAGCCACGCGCGAACTTCACTTTGCACATAGACAACATCATCTTCAAACACGTCGTCAAACTTGGCTACAAAAGGTAAGTGTCAGCAACATTCAAGATTGTGCACAACACAACACAAAACAAGAACATCGAATTTGGAGGTTGAAGTGAGTTGTACCAAGGTATTCACGTCTGGCTTGCACCACATCGACAGGCTGAGCAGTCTTGGACTGGAGGGGGGCATATTTGAGCAAAAATTCGGGCAAGTGCCAGCTCAAGCGACCACACAATACAACGACAGGGGCCTTGAGTTGCAACTGCCACAGCTTGTCGAACAGCCCCACGTCGGGTAGTACGTTGTTCGGTAGCAATTTTCGAAACACGACATATAGGCCTGCCGCTCCGACCAATTGGATTCGCTCGTTTCTACCAACAAACAGTCAGATATGCTGACAAAGGTACCTACGTTTCGGAGGCTGTGCCGAGTGCGGATTCGATCGCTTGGAAGCGACTGGTCAAGCAGTGAAAGAATTCGTCCAAAAACACGCGATTGTTGCGAACGTCAATATTGTTTTCCTGCTCGTCGTCCTCGTCCTCGTCTTCTACAGAAACAACGCCCATCATCCTCACGGAAAGTGGACGGATTCTGGAAACAATACAATTCGACACAAGATGGGTTGCGTGGTGAGTGAAACGTTAAACTTACCGCTGTCCTCGTAACTAAACGTGGTTTCAAAATCTTGTTCAATGCAGGTCTGGAAAACTTTGGCACCTAGGTTGGGATAAATAACCACGTGTTATGATGCAACAAATATGTACCAAGTCCATGGAAACCAAGCACACACAATTTAGCAGATCCATCACGTTGGCACTACAAATCTCAATCTTATCATGCAGTCTTCCGACGCTACACGATCGACTTTTAAAACAGTAGCCCCACAACGTCGCCCATAGCGCCGACAGTAACCCACAGAAGCATGTGCCAAGCAATCAAAACAGTACGGTCGTTCCAGTCGTACCCATAAACGTCCCGTCCAAGTTAACCAAGAGCCGCTCAAACGCCTTGACTTTTTCGACCGTGACATTGTACCTGGCTGGATCAGCCCGCACGTACTGCATCATGCGCTTGTATTTGTCCCAAGACGTCACGATATTGGGGTTGTCGAGCACAATCAAGTCGAGCGTGATGAGGATTTCCAGCACGTGGGCAAAGGCGTCAAAGACACTCGTCAAATGAACGTGCTTGAACGTCGACTTCCACAGCTTTTGAATACTCTGGTACAACGACGCGAGTTGATGGACGAGATTTGTCGCAATCGCATTGCAGCGGTCCACGAAATTCGATATGTCCTAGCGCCACACAATGTGCTCAGCAACTCCTCCGGGAAAACTCACGTTCCATCAATTTCTTCATGGGCAAAAAAGTTACACATTAACTTCGGGAGGCACCGGTAAGGTTATGCAGGTAAGTATGAAGGCGGCGTCATGAGCTTAACACTGAAGACAATCTTCCCCACGAGTTCACCGAAACAAGGATGGGAAAGCGAAGATTCCAAATCAATGCCGTGTGGGTGCAAATTCAAACGACAACCACATCGAGAAATGGCAGAGCACAGTGAATAATGAGGAAATCTGATAAAATCATCTGCAGCGACGACGTACTTGGAAAAATGGGAGCATGCGCCCAATGTGTACTTCATCCTCGCCCGGCTTGACGTCGCCCTTGTCTCCATGCTTGGCTTGACCAAACATGATCAACGCCGGGTAAAAGTTGTCCTCAACCGTCACTTTGAGTTCAGATATCTCATCACAGAGCACAGCGAACACGGTCAGGACTTTGTTAAACAGTTCGTTGTCTGTACGAATGAGATCCTGGACGTCCACGCGCTCTGCGGGATGCAAATGCAGTTGGATTGGGTCCGCCTGTACAGCGAGACATGGTCAGGTTCGACAGCAAGTAGCTGAAGCGTACCCAGTACCCCCACACTTCGGACATTGCAGCGGAGAGGGCATCTTCGATTTCTTTGAGCTTCGACTGTTTGTACAAAACGACGATGAGGGCGTTGCAGTCGATAATAGATAATGGAGAGAGGTCCTACAGTGTGCTCGTTAACAATCTCGAGGCCTTTCTGCAACTGCTCGCGAATCGGTTGATCGTGTGCGTCAAAGTCTGCAAATGGGGAGACAAACTGGTAGTCTTCTTCGTCGATCGCGTCCAAATCTGGCGCTTTCCCAGTGGAAGTTCCCAATGCTGTCGTGCGAAGCTCCGACGCACGTGCACTTCGTCGACTCGAGTTTGATGCACGACTGCTAGACGATGCACGGGAGTCCGATCTTTCGCGATTGCTCATCATGGACGCACGCGAATCAAATCGATCGAACCGCGTCGAATCCGCATACGACGCCCGTGAGTCGAATCGGGGGCGTTCGTTTCGTCGTTTGATGTCAACTTCGCTCAAAGTGTCCGAGATGAGGTCGCTTTCGTCTCCGTCCGACGAGACAGAGCTTCGCTCTGACAGCTGGCGAGCAGTCGGGGGCGCATTCGGGGGAGCTGGACCGGTATTTAAGGTAGATGGAGTCGCCGAAGCTGTCGCCGCCGGTTGATTGCGCACGCTACGGGAACTCATCGCAGAAGTGAGCAACAGGCACACGAGCGGCCAGTATATCCGGATAAGGTCGCAAATGTCGGTCGTTTCCTCCGGATGTCTGTGTAATAGATATTGAAAAGATATTTCCGATTCCGTCTTTTTCTCTACTAATTCCTCAACTGTCACACGTTGACGACACAAAATTCATGTGAACCGCAGAGAATAGCACGGTGCTCGTGCGCCAAGTACACAACATTTAAGTGCATTAAGTTGTTTGGAATGCGCTGCAGAGGCCCATCCATGAAGCCACCAGCTTGACCGAAGTGGCAACACGCTCACGATAGAGTTATTCACCGATGTTGTTCAAGCACTCTTGAATAACATCGCTGTACGGGGCAAACGGACCAAGGTCCTTGGCATGGGTCAGCATTGCGCGAGTGGTTTCGTTGGTGGGGTTTGACACCATGTCATGGATAAGTCTGCGCAACTTGGACTGGAATACCTCAAGGAGCATCGATTGCTTGCGCAAGGACGTCACGGCACCTGTAAAGCAAAAATGGGCAATGTGGTGAACCACCATGCGATACATCGCCATTCCTTTCTCGGCCGTGAGATGCTGCTGGACGACACTTTGCAGGTACGCATCCAAGATGGCATCATCCACGACGTAGACACTTTCAAGGTCGGTGATCGTCTAGCAGTACAACATGAATACATCTCCACCGTCGACCAACAATGGAATACCACAAAAAGTCCACAGGATGGACTTGTCAAACGCTGTCAAGATTAATACATTCAATGAACAATAGTTGATAGAAACAAATGTCCGAACTCGCTTCACCGCGTAGGGAGGGACTAACACATCACGAGAACGGGTTGGTACCTCGAGCAAATGGAGGCACTGGAGTTGCGCGACTTCGTTCCACACGGCGAATTGGGTCGCGATTGGCACTCGGTTCGGTTGCAAGTACATGGTCAAAATCCACGCGAGTCCTTTGTCGCCAAACGAGACGTTGCAAAACACTTGCACGAGAGTCGAGAGCAAGTTCGAGACCGATTGGTGCTGCACTGACACGATGCGTTCAGTGGCGTCCATGAGGGAATCAGGTTTGTCTTGATCGTGGCGCTGGCGAATGTACCGGTGTATCAGCGCATGCAAACCAGCGCTGCAGTCGCGCCATGCTTCAGCTTCCCATAAATATACATGCGCCAAATGGAGCACTTTGTCCGTGGGGGAGATGGCGGCGAATAGCTCGGGCTGTCTAAGATGACATACACAGATTTTAGACTACTCGACGAACACAATGCTGTGCAAAGAAGTCATCAAGTCAAAAACCAATACTGTCGACGTTTCACAATAAAAACTTCAACAATGCTTGAACGGTCCAGAGTACTTCAGTTACCTCGTTTCGACAACCGTGAGGAATTTCACGAGATGTGTCAGCATGATCGACTCTTCTTGTGAGTCCATCGAATGCAGTCGGGAAGCCAGGGCAAACACCCATCCAGGTGGGGGTGGCAGTGTACTAACTGTTGGATTCGCAGACTTCGAAGTCGATTCAAGAGGTTGAAGCGTGTGACATGTGATGTTCTTGGAAATTGCTGGGGGACACAACAGCGCCTCGTAGATGGCGACGAGCGGAGGCTGTTCCAGCACACATCGAAGTAGCTGCCGCACAAGTTTATGTTGGCCTGGCTGTATACATTGGAGTAAAGGATATGCTGTGGCTCGAACCCAGTCTCGCATGCTGTCGTTGACTCCTTTCCAGGAAATGACAAACTCCAAGAGCGCTGCCGCGACGGCCAATTGAGGTTTGGGTGTTGTAGTCAGTGACGGTACGTAAGACTGAATAAACGCAACAGTCTCCTCCAGATCAACTACGCACGCTTCGCCGTCAGATGCCACAGAATGGTTGCTAGGTTACCTTGCACCAAAGAATGTGGATTGGCTGCAACAATTTGATGCAACGCCACAATTGCCTCGACAACTTGAGGCGAAAGGTTTGTTGAGAGCGTACGAAGCGTGGGCCACACCGACACAAACGGAGCAGGTTCCAACGATGGGTAGGTAAAAAGCAGGGGATATGTGGCTGCAAGAAACCGCACAGCTGATGCACTTTGTGTCCCCAGTTCGCTCGCTTGCTGGATGAAAAACGGCAAAAACGCAACGGTGGAGGCTTCATCAATCAAAAAGACGAGCGCGTCCAAGATGCATTCTTGCATGACTCGGGGCCATGGTTCGAGGGAAATCGAGTCCACCGATTGCGTCAGAGCTTTGGCGTCATACCCACAGAGCAGAGGAAAGAGGTACGCTATGCTGGGCTGATCCAGTCGGTAAGATAAACAAACTCTCCAAATTCGCATCGTCAGCGTCTAGCCATGCAGTGGAATGAGCACATGAACCAGGGTTAAATTGCCTCCAGCGAATGCACGTCAATATGCTCAGCAAAATGTTTCAGTATGAATGGGTGGAGTTCTGCTTTTGGAAATTGCATCAACGCGGAAAATAATTGGAAATGGATACGAAGCCGTACTTGCAATGGAAGAAGGGCCGGTGGAAACCGCATTGCCAAGAACACCTTGGTCGACGCGAGAACTTGATGGTCCAAGAGCTGCTGCGCGTGGATTTTATCAGCTTGGCACAAGCGTAATATCCACAGCAACGTTGCGGCAGTCATCTGCAGCAATTCGTCAGGTGACGGTTGCCCTCTGTTGATGAGGCATACCTCAATTGATTTGAGCAAGGTGTCCACAGTCGCCACGGACAGCAAAGAATTCAGCAATGAAAAAACGGCCGTCCCTTCAAGAAACTGTGCAGCTGCCCTGTTCGACAAACCACGTGAAATGCCCCCCCACCGTGTATGATTGAAAGGGACGATGCTGCCAGCAACACTCACCGTGGGGAATGCATTGCAATGACGACACAAATTTCGAGCAACTGGAGCTGTGCGTGGCTTGAAACCAGCGGGGCTTGTTGCGCGTCGATGAGTTGCCTGCGGGGACTCGTTACTACGTTGAGCAGCACGTATTTCTGCAATATGCTTCAACATACAACAAACGGGGCGGGAGTTGAGTAAAAAGAAGTGCTTGAATCGGGTCGGCAATATCCTTGACGTCCGAGACCTCGTCTTCATCAATGTACGCAACAACTCTGGCATGTCCTGGATATGATAATCGTGTAAGTCCACTTCATGCTTCGATTTGGCCCGTCGTATTGCAAGCGCTTGGCATTTCTGACAATTCTACCTTGTGCGTCGCGAGGAGTCCATTCAACTTGATCGACGTCCGTCATCAAGTCAAATTGAATCAAGCATGCATGCAGCACATCAATCGCAGCCACAAGGACCGAAGAATTGGATTCCTCGAGGGCTGAACGAGCAACAAGTGCCATTGCAGTCGTTGCAGCGGTTGTCTACACCGGCCGGAGACCACTTAGTTGAGTTTCTCTCATGCCTACGTGGCTGATGGTCGACATTCATACCCCCGCCGCGATCGCTTTTGCCAGCACACTCAATGCCATCGCACGCTGTGAACCCACGGTACTTCGGGCTAAGATTAGCAGCTCTTCCGTCGTGTACCTACCGTGTGTAGTAAGATGGCGACGTGGTCGCTAATTACAACGCGACGACACTTACCCAGCTAGGTCTGGGTTCAAGCCGTGGTGAAAGAGCCCTGTATGCAGCGGCACCGTGTCTGCTGTCGCAACGATGAGTTTTCCCTCAAGATCCACACGGGGTTGCGACTCAGCGACGTGTTCTCCTTCTGGCTGAAGATGAACTTCTGGAAGCGACGCCATCCACTCATGTTTCAACCGTTGTTCCTTTGGCAGTTCGCTCACGGCACGGCGAAGAGATTCGTCAGTGCTTGGAGTGACTGTTGAGGTGGAGGCTGGTGGTGGATTTTGAAGCGAAGGCTGGACAGGCGAGGAAGAGTCGTGACTGGGTGGGGCAATGGAACCTGTTGCTGCCGGGTCGGTAGAGTTCTTCTTGCGTTTCATAAACATATCGAGTATTTCAGGAGGCAACGAGGCATGAAGATCAGCTTGCGCTTTACGAATATCTTCAAGCGACATCTTTGCAATCGCCGCGTCATTGTCGTACTGGATGTCATTGGGAATGGCACTGGACGAGGTAGATTGTAGTTTTCGTGCAATGGTGGGCAGAGTGGCCACCGAATCTGTCGTAGCTTGTTGGTTTCGACGACGGCCAAAAAGACTAGTCTTCTTGGTCGAGGGAAATCCGCCGTCTGTGGGTGGAATTGTTGACATTGGCATCGTTTTCACAGGCGTTAAGCGTTCCACCACTTGTGCGCGGACTACCGACGGAGGAAGGGGAGACGGCGTTGGTGGCGCTTGAGTTGGGATGTGCTTTGGCTTTGTCGATTGCAGCTTCACGGAAGAAGCCTTTCCACTTTGCATGAACTGCTCCTGCTCATGAAGAAGTTTGGCAAGTTCCGCGTCCATGTCCATGATGGCCAAAAGTGCGCGGCAATCGAATGGAGTTCAATTATCCGTAATACAGTTCGTTGTTATCCGGTTGATTTTCTTCTAGTGACTGGGCCAGTCGCGGTAGTCGGGAGTCACGCGATGGCCGTCACGAGTTACAGCGTCGTGACGTCGATGCGCAACGCACTTCCTATTGCACTGTGTCATAGGCGGGGAGCTGTAGGCGGGGAGCGAGGACGTTTTCGGGGTTTCAGACTTGCTGTTCTCTAGAGCTGTTGCGGTATCGTTCAGTTGAGAAACATAACACAACGCAAGAAGTGGTCGATCGGAATCTGTTATCATACATGGAGAAAAGTGCCACGCACGATGTGCAATAAAAATGGCCACCTTGTTCCAGTGAGTCCTCCAAGGGCAAGGTGGATAACGGTGGAGAGGGTCGACTTAGGAAGACAAATGGGGAAAGCATTGCTCAAGCGTGAAGCCCTTGTCTTGGTGTTTGCTTACCCAGTGGTCGTTCAATTGGTTACGCTACGAATGAACCCCATCAGGATACCTGAACGTGCCGCACCATCGTATAGAGACCAAGGACTTACTCCCACGTTCACCATAAACGTCATCATGCAGATTTTGCACTTGACCGCCGTTCGGTCGGCTTCCATCTTAGCTCGCATTTCAGGAGCGTTCTTGGCCTTCGCTTCCTTGGCCTTCTTGGCGTTGTTGCGTTCACGCGCAGTCGCACTCTTCTGACCATTGCCACCTCCCATGTTGCTAGTAGTTTGCAGTTGGAAATTCGAGAATGGTGCCACATACTGTTCCTACCAACAATTCATTATCCATCCTCACACCGCTTAACATGCATAAAAATAAATATATAGAACCTTGTATTGAATTGTGCCCGTTTTGACTTGAATCCACTGCTACCATTAAAATTTTGCTGGTAGAATGGTGAATATTCACCCCCATAGCAATCATCAAGTGTCCAATTTATCCGAAAACGTCCTCTACTAACCGAAAACTGCAGTGCATGGTGGACGGGCATTCATGAGGAAACTACCGAGAAATATTTTTGTATTCCGTATGTATATGGACGAGCGAAAAATTCCACTGAAAGGATAATTGGGTCGCGAGATGGCATTGGGAAGAAGTACTAGTACTATTCCCAACTACTAAGTTAGTAGGATTTATTACTTGCCCAAATCTGCGCGGAGCCGTTTTCAACCGTGCAGTTGCTCCATCCTGACACGGCACGAATATGTTGTTCAAGCAAGCGAGCCCATAGGTAGCTAGATGACCAAAGGGTGTGTTGGGACGGAGCTCTTGCTTCTCTACTTGAATGCACAACAACTCGGGCGTGAGTTCTGTGTTCTGCAATGACTGGGTCTGCAAGCTGTAAAAAAAGTCCCTTTGAGCAATTGCTTCGGCTCACTTCGACGGACGATCGACTTATCACAAGTCACAACTTTGGCGTTTGCCTGCACAGCTCTCTCCGTGAAACACAATGGGAGGTTAGAGCATGCAGGGACGATGCGATGATAACAGCATGACCATCGAAAATACTTATCACACGTTTAAATAGCCAATACGGGGATAGATAAAAGCAATGGTCTCGCCATTGATCCTCCACAATGGCATGGTATGGTGTGTTGATGGAGTGAGAGTTTACGCCAGGTGAGGGAAGCACTGCTCAAGCGTGAAGCCTTTGTCTTGGTGTTTGCTTACCCAGTGGTCGTTCAATTGGTTACGCTACGAATGAGCCCCATCAGAACAGGTGAACGCGCCACGCCATCGCATAGAGACCAAGGACCTACCCCCACGTTCACCATAAACGTCATCATGCAGATCTTGCATTTGACTGCCGTTCGGTCGGCTTCAATCTTGGCACGCATTTCAGGAGCGTTCTTGGCCTTCGCCTCCTTGGCTTTCTTGGCGTTGTTGCGTTCACGTGCTGCCGCACTCTTCTGTCCATTACCGCCTCCCATGCTTCCAAGTTGGTGTCTGCCGCCGAGAAATCGGAACTGGCCTAGAACATGGCAGCCAATGCCAGTCGTCCCCGTCGTCGAATCTGGCCTGCCAAGGCATGAGAACCTTTATCCGGAATGTACCATAATTCATGGTTCAAGTGACTTGATTTTTGTATCAATTATTTGAATGCTCAATATATTGCATGTACGGA